CGCTCGGCGGTGAGCAAGAATTTGTCTCGTCCTTTTTCGCTGCCCCCTGCCGCCCTTTCGTGGATAACAACAACGGGGCGCGGGCGCGGAGCGTAATTAACCTGTGGCTTAACTTCGTCGCGTAATTTATAGCTGTCGTCTCTCTGGCGCTGGGTCACGGCGGTAGCCGTGAGTCCAAGTTAATTGTGCGCACGTCGCGGCTACGCGGATACCTGCGTGGATACACACAGGTACTCCGAGGACATCCGTTTTAGCCTCGCGGCGGCCTTTGTTGTCAGCCGTGGTCCTACAGCAAAATAGCGAAAACCGCGCTATCAAGGAAGACCGGCGGGGCGGGGTGGCTTGTACAAAAGTTTCGCGCAAATAAATCTCCGAACACGGCCACCACCGCACAATGGGAAAGCGGCGCTGAAAGGGCGTTTAAGCGTGAATTATTGTTTACCGCGGACGCTTTAAGACAAAAAGGCCGCTTAAAGTGGATCAGCTGTTTTCTATCGCGCTATTATGCACGTCGCCGCCACGCTGCGCGCGGTCTCGTGAACGCGCTCCCATTTGGTCGGTCGGTCGGTCGGTCGGTCGGTCGGTCGGTCGGCCGGACACAATCGTGTGTCACGGACAGACTGATCTTTACAACGCACATCGGCTAGAGAGAGAGAGAGAGAGAGAGACGCGCACATGGCTACTCTAATTGCTCCGCGCCCTGAGCAATTAACCGCCGCCGTTTGTATTCGCGACGTACGCAAATCACGTCTCCCAAGCCTCGATAACGGTTGTACATAGATGTGGAAATTGGTTCTTTCTGGCAGGAGACGTGTGACGGGCGTGTGCGAACGTAGCTACTGAAATACTTAATGTCAGAATCAAAGGGAAAGAGGTCGGGCTCCGTGAAATTCCCGCCGAGAGGAATCGACGTCTCAGGGTGGCTGAGAGAGGAGTTACGTAAACGGGAAATGGCTCGGTAAACTTGCGAGACGCGGCGCTCCCTGCAGCATCTTTGGACGATTATATTTAAATATATCGTGCATACACATAAATCAGGTAAATACATTGCATTAATATGAAATACATACTAATGCGAAGAAGAGTACGAGAGCACGAGCAAATTAACATCCCGAAAGCTCTTATCACGGCTGGCGCTTGAAGAAGGCTTACCGCGCAAAGCCGGTAATCCTTTATGCCTCGTTTGAAGGATAGATGCACGTTAATAGCACATATGTATAATGCACTTACGTGAATAATACATTCGAGTTCAAGGAAGAGTACATAAAGGACTGTATTGTGCGGGTAAGGATACGTCTTGCGCGCGACGTGTTGCAAAAATCCCGGACTTATATGTAACATACAGACGAGAAGGTAGAGTAGAGTAGAGTAGAGAGAAGGAGAGAGAGAGAGAGAGAGAGAGAGAGAGAGAGAGAGAGAGAGAGAGAGAGAGAG